GCGTTGAATTTTCGTCGATGTTAAGCCTAACAAAGACTATTGTATCGTTAAAAATTATTTTTTTATTTTGTACAAACAAAATAAATATATTGAAAAATATAAAAATAATAAAAAAATTATACTTCAGATGTTAATTTAGTATCAAAAACGTAAATATATTTGAGTAGCCCAAGACATAGCCAAAGATTGAAGCGCCACAGCACTGGCGAAAATTTAAATTTGCCGACTGGAATTCTTTCGGATGATTGACTTTTGGAAAATCGACGCTCTACTGTATTTAATTTTATGTTCTTTTTAAAATTTGCAATTTTTCAATCAATTTTTACTTTTTGTAAAACATTTACATAAAATTAGACATTCCAATTTCCACCTAGTCCACTACAAATTTTCTGTATAGCTATACATGAAAATTTATTCTGAGATTTCCGATCTAGGTACGGGGAAAGGCCCACTCACAATCATTACCTCTGGGTCCACTAACTTGAAGTTACGCCACTGGCCAGATGAACAAAACATCTATTCCTACAGCACTTAATTTTATTACAATATTTCAGTTTTTTAAATAAAGACATTTGCAAATATTTGTAATCTTTATAAAAAATGTTTTATATCCTCATTATTGTACTTAATTTTAANAACTCTACCATTTTGTACTAGGTGGCAAAGGGCCGCACAAGAACCTCGCGGAAGCCGCAGGTTCCCCACCTAGGTTCTAGAAGGTGAAAAAAACAATAAAACAAGGAAAATTGTAAGAACAAAAGACAAAAGCAGACAATATGGCTTACAGCCACAAGGACAATGATGTTAAACAAGTCCCTAACTTTCAGGACCAAGGTGAAAGATCCAATACTTTGTGACCTGCAGTTTTCCTGATGTATGAACAATCTATATACTTTTTTACAATTCAAGTCACAGTTGCTGGTTATAAGTGCTCTTTCTTTATGGCAAAAAAAAAAATTCTTTGGATGAGTTTTAATATGTCTGAAAAAAGATTTTCCAGTCTGGTTCCAATTTCCATTGAGCATGATCGTGCAAAGAAACTAGATACATCAGATATTATCTTTGGATTTTCCAACAAAAAAGTTCAACGATATGTGTAGTTTGTCAACAAAAAAAGTGACAGAAACAATGAGTGAATGTTCTAGTTACTCCAGTCTCCAATAAAATAAGATTACAGTAGAGCGTCGATTTTCCGAATCAATTGGGGACTGGGGTTGTCCGGATAACTGATATTTCGGATAACNTAAAAAATGTTTTATATCCTCATTATTGTACTTAATTTTAAACATTTTAAGATAACTTTTATTTTAAGAAAATTATCAAAGAGCTCAGTACTGATATTGTTATTGTTGCCAAATAATTAGAAAAAAGGAATGAGGACCAGTACAAGCCACTGCTAGTAAGACTGAGACACTAAGCTACTTCATAAAATGGAGACAAAATTGAGACATTATTAAAACATGGGTCTGTCTGAAGACTTGTTTTGAAACTTAACATCACTGATAAAAAGAATCCCTGTATCAAATCTTCTAGGTATTGCAACAGATGGTACAAGTGTGAAGATCAAGCAGAATAACTCCTTGTATGCTTCGCCAATCTCATTGCAATGCATTGTGTTTGCCATAGTTATTGCTTCAAAAGCATATGAAGTAGGGGTAAGGTTGTCGGCGGAAAAATGTGACTCTCAAGTTGGTATTTTTTAAAATAAACTTCAAATCCCATGAAAAGATACGACTCCCAACTCATACTCTCCACCTCTGATATGAAGAACTTCTTATAGATCCAGAACTTGTGCAATCCATGTTGTCATACACTGCCTATAGTCCAAAGGTAATGTGCAGAGTTAGAGGAGATTCAGAAAATATATGGAGTTCATAGGCAATTGATGTTGAAGATAGCAAAATTTAGGTGACTTTCCTACCATCATTGTGTGATCAAATCTTTCAACAGTGAGATTGTTGGAAACATTTTTGTTGGGCTTTAACAGATGATAGATGTGCTCAAAGTTAAAGAGGTGCAAAAACCTGCAAAATTTTAAAATTTGCTTTGGATTATTTTAACAGGTTCAATTCTCTTTTTCAGTCAGAAACAGTTCTTATTCCTTGTTCATCAGTTAGGTGAAAAATCAAAGTTAATTTTGAAACAACTGTGTTTGAATTTCATTAAGGTTGGATTCATGGAAAACCTAGAAAAGATCACTTTATTTCATCATCCCATTTTGTTGAATTAAGCTCAGTATGTTTCGAGCCTGAGTCTGAGGAATTGTTGAAAGGAAAAGCTGACAATGTAGTTCAGGAGATAAGGATGATGTGTTTGAAGTTTTACATTACAGCCCCACAAGGAATCATTTGCAGACTATCACTCCAACACACATTTCTTTAAGTAGGGTTTATTGATCCAAGCATTATATTGGAGGGTAAACATTGTGACTATGTAAATGACTAAGTACCTTAAAAGTACAGTCAAACCTGTCTATAATGGAATCCATGGGACCGAGCAGTTCTTCCATAGTAGACAGGTTTCTGCTATATACAGGTTACCTACTACAGGTATCCCTTGATTAATGCAGTAGCATCTAAGGATTAATTCAGTGGTACCTCAATACTTGACCAAACAATCACTACCCCACTAGAACAAATTTTTCATTAATAACAAATATTTTTATTTTAACTTTAATTTTGTCATCTGCAAAAAAGTTTTCTATATTAAAAATGAGTAACTAATTTAAAAATAAACTGAAACCTTAGAGCTGCATACTTTCATCAGACAAAATTATACTCCATCCAGTTCATTTTCTTTCATTTAATGTGTCCAGAATACAATCGTCGTGTTTTACAACCATTTCAAATGGATGAAGTGTTTTAGTAATATATGTCTGTGACACTAAGATTTATTGCAAGTTCACACGTTGTTATTCATTGATTGTTAACAATTTCTTCTCTCAATTTCTTTTTGTCAACAGCTTTTGGAGCTGGTATGTTTTGTATCCTTTAGTTCAAAATTTCCCAAATGAAATTTTCAAAACCACACACGTCTAACATTTAGGAGCATCTCCCATACACACTAAAGTATTTTTTACTCTTTGTATGGCATTAAATCCTTTACAAAACATTAAAAGCATACAGTAAATCACATAGCTATGTTAAGAAAAGCAGCTGTTACACAAAAACATTTTTTTTGTTGGTCATGGTTAAGGATACTGAATTTTCTGTTATATGGCCTGATTTTCCTTTCCGTTTTCACCTCGGGCAGATTCCACCATATATGGGTTAATTTACATTGATTTTTGTAGAAAATTCAAGAGACCAAAGAAATCTATTAATGACAGATTTTCACCATATACAAGTTCCATTATAGACAGGCTTGACTGTATTTTCAAAGATGATATTATTGTATTTGCTAGTCTGTTTCTTGGCATCCAGAAAAGAAGAGCCTAAGAGCCAAGGCTGGATGAAATATAGGGATACACTAAAGAAACAGATTTTACAGAGAAATCTCATTTGCAGCATTGAATACTGTGTGTTTTACCAAGTGTTCCTCTCAGTCTAAGCATGAGGCTTGCAGGAGTTTTGATGTGACAAAACAACACTTATGTTTATTTACAGATAATATGTATAAAATTAATTGGGGTGTGGTGTGTTCAAAGTTTAGTCCAGCCACTGAAGAGCAGTGTTTTAAATTCAGAGTGATGATTAAGTTGCACAATTGCTAAAATATGCAATATTTGCAAGTGCCAAATGACTGAAATTTTGTGATATACTGTATTACAGTTTTATACTGGTTTCTATGGTTTAAGTCAGTCACAAGCAACCCATGGCCTCCTGGTGACACATGGCTCACAAGGTCCTAATACCTAAAATGTGGCTCCCAGGGCATTATGCTGATATTTGTGACAAAAAATACTCAAACTAAACTTGTCCATTGAAGAGATGAGAATAAACTATATATTTCTAGTTTGCATATCATTTTAATATTAATATTTAGTGTATGACCATTACAGGTATGTCGGTTCTCATGCAGCCCATTGGAAGCGCATAAAGTTCCCTTGTGGCCATCATCCAGAAAAGGTTGCTTGTCTTTGATTTAAATAATACTCACAAAATCATAAATTATGAAACAACGTTTAATGCAGCATTTTTACATATTTCATAAAGAATTTTTTAAGTCTCTAAAGTGTGACTTTTGATAAGTATTGGGAGAACCTTTTCATATAAATACACTAAATAATAACATGATCCCAAAAATTCAGCATGTAAGAAAATTTTGCATCATAATTTGGCAATTTTGGCACTCGTGTCTAAAAAGGTTGCTCTGCTATAGGAAATTTTAGAGGAATTTTGAGTTTGAGAGTATTCCGTCCTTGACTGGATTTAAATTAACTTAAAACATTTTTCTCCGTCAATAAATTTTTTTATCTGTAATGAAATTTACAAACAATGTTAATATTAATGTTTATTAAACATAACATTATTTACAAAGATAAATTATCACAAATTACAAATTTAAACAAATGGATTGACAGATTTATTTTAAAATTTGAATGTACAAGATGTTGAAAAAAATATAAAGTAATAAGACTACTTCAGAATATGAATTTACTATCCAAATCTCTTGGAATATTCTTCATTTTATGAATTCTGGTTAAAGATTAAAAAATTAATATCAGTACCATTGGAAACAATTTAAAATAAATGTACAATAGATGAGTTCCGTTTGAATTTGGATGAAATTTGACAGAGTATTTCCAAATAAAATCTTGATCGTTAAGTTTCTTACATTTGAGTATCTTTACATTTTGCCCTGAGATAGAGAGATGGCATTAAGAATAATATATAGAAATTTCAAAACATATTATATTCAGACTGTAGAAAATGAATAAAATTCATAGAAAATTTCTATTACAATAACCACAAAAATCTATTGTTAACAAGTTAAAATTATCGACGTATGTACAGTACACACGAGTTCGCGGAGATTTTTAGAGTTTTTATGCAATGGGTTATTTGCAATTTTTCCGAGCGGCTTTGGGTCGGATGTACAAACATACCAAAACAATGCAGACTTCGCATCCAATGGACAAAAATTATTTACATACAGATAGAATTCTCAAGGAATGGGATGCAATACGCTCAACTTTGTATTTGCATCTATGGAAGAAGGTCGTGTTCTACATTTAAATAGCTGCAGTGAAAATATTTTGCATACTGTAAATATTTATAGGGGAATGTATGATACATGGAGGGATAAACAACTCAAACTTCGATCACAATTTGATATATTTTTTTTAACATCAAAACATTTATGATGATTGTCTTAATAACAAGTGAAAAACAAACTTGTGTGACTAAAGTGACAATCGTATGACATTCAACACACACAAATAGGCATCGAATTCTATCACTTAGACAATTGCAATTTTCAAAACAAAAATTGAATTAAGCATAAAAATTGTATTTTTTCATACATAAATATGCTATTTGAAAAATGCAGCACCTAATTATACATATTTACAAAACTTGCATTAGCAATTGTAAATTTGTAAATGCTCTGAAAGCAATCTTATTATTGATATAATATAATAATATTAGCACGACACAAAGACGTGCAATTTGACATTCACCCCAAAGAATTTTTAATGATTTTATATCAATAATTTATTAAATTGTTAATTGTCGTCCATTTGTATTGCATCGAAATAAGTCAAGTTTTTAAGCATTTATCATGTGACTCTATTAACTGTTATAACTTAAAAACGAATTGTGTAAAGTTTATAAAAGATCTAATCCTAAACATAGTAATATGTTACATCAAGATTAAAAAAGAAATCCTATACATATTTGGTTATATTTATACAGTTTTATGTTAAGTTCCACAATATATCATCTAACATTCAAACCGAAATAAAATTATTATATATTTTTTTTTTATGATGAAAAACAGTTTAAGTAATTTTAAATTTTACATCAATACATCCTGAAGCATACAAATTTTATATGTTGTATACAATTAAAATATAAGATATTTAGAAACCGTATAAAGTGAGCACCTTGTTGAACTGTTAAACTAATGGGAAGAATGAGTAGATTATAAAAGTAGATTTCGATAATGGATATTGCATAGAGAGCTTATGCACGCATCTCCGAAATTATGAAACTCCACATTATTATACATTTCTTTGGACCCTTTTGTTTGTAGTGATGTTAACAAACACATTATTTACATTACTAATAATTCTTAAAATCACTAAGTGATACATTTAATGGAATATAAGTCACAGTGTTGTACTGTTATTGGATTTATTTTATTATACCGAGACAAGTCGTATTCTTTCCAAAATGAATAAAAATAAATATATACTTATATCTATATTGGCACAATAATTGCTGATATAAATAAATCTTTAAATTAAATATTCAAAATTCCCATTACTCACATATATATATATAAAAAAAAAGTTAAAACTATAAATTATGAAAATGTTTGAATTTCAAAATAGTTATTTAAAAATTATAAAATTTTAAATATTTTCTAATGTGATAGTAGATTGTCTGTGACAATTATATTTGTATTACGATCCATGGAATGTTAGGTGCCACCATGCGGAACGCAAAATAAAAAAATAAGAAGGTTGTTCAGGTCGAGCAAAGTCTTTTTCCACCATTAGAAGTAATGTCTCGAATAGCCTGAAGTAATCTTTTGATGTGTCCCACTTTTGTTACTCCAAGTTCCTGAAATTTATAAAGTAAGATAGTTAATAAATTTCTTAATTTTGTAAAAAGTTGTTTTTGATAGTCAAAAATTTCTTTATAAATTTCTTATTCTAAAAAAATATTTGAATATATTTTTATGAATAAGAAAAATTTGTAAACTGTTCATCTTCAGTAAATAAATGTTTAAAACTATCTATTTAATGAAGAATGAATAGCACTGATATTTTGAATTCAGTATAAACATATGTAAATGCTATTTGATTTATGAGTGGATTAACAAAATTGACTTTGCAACTAAGGCTTGGAATCTCTTTTATCTTAATTTTCAACGTTGAACATTTATACACAAACAGCGTTATTAGAAGTGTGTAATTGCATATGTGAGAATCCACTGGGGAGAGACTAGTGCTCAAATCACCCTTTTAGTGGCTTCAGTCTGGTGAGGCCTGCTCAAATGTCAGTGGATGGATATCAAGTGTATTAGGAGAGTATTATCATCGATAGGAGTCCTGCCTATAGTAAATCTGAGTTGAGCCAGGTTAACAATTAACAAACAAAAGTTTAATGAATAAAATAAACGAATACCATATCGCTTTATCAATATCTAACTACATACACCTCTACATACTGAGAGAGAATTTACAACTGATTATATAATACCTCTAGTTGACAAATGTCTGTATATGCAGGGAGTTGCTTTCAGAGTGAACTGGAGACAGAGGTGGGCTGGGAGAGGAATGACAGACAGGAGCCTAGTTTACTGGCTTCTATGGGAGAGTCTACTTTGAGACTGATGTGTTAGCACCATATATCCTTAAATCCCCTCCAATCAGGGTTTAGGATTTTTATCATATGATGGGATACATTGATGAGTCAAGCTACCAGATGTTCAACAAAAATTGTGATAACATCTCACCAAAGGAAGTCGACAGTCAAGAAAGGGAGTTTTATTTCTTTATCAACTTGAAACCATGTCGTGTTCTATTTCTATTGTTTATCCAACATAATGTAGTGCAACTTAATGATCATTTAGCAAAAGTGCAACAAAAGTGATCATTAAGTTGCACTACATTGTGTTGGATAAACAAAAAGTTTTATTTTCCTTTTCTTGAACCTTTTCCCTCAAAATTATAAAAATATGACATTTTTAACACAAAAAAATTAAGAGTTTTTGAATTATATAAAATTATTCCGTGTCTCCCAGATCTCACACATATAATGGAAATAATACCATAAAATACAATATCTTTCAGCAGATACTCAACAAAACATAAAAAAGCAGTTTTACAGTATCATAAATGTCGTATACACAAGCCATTTTTAAGTTAATTCTAAAAAAAATTATCTGATGAATGCAAGACTTGAGCAAATCAAATTTAACTAACTCTGATTTTTCAGTTTTGAAATTTGATGAGTTCAGTTTCTCATCTTTAAATAAAGAGAATAAAAAAATTCTCTTTAGTTCAGAGCTTCATTCCCAAATCACTATTTAAAATTAGCATTTGATTGGTTGTCTTTGAAAAAAATCTTATCACCATATAATGTAACTATATAATAATGTAAAATACAGAGTTCATTGTGTGTACCCTGTATTTTACAATATTAAGAAATAAACACACCTGGAAATACATGATTGTAAAGAACAACTGAAAAAAATTACCAAACATTCACATGAATACCTTTAGTGACATGAGGGATAGTGTAAACTCTGTCACAGATTGTACCTTTACTAAATAGGGATCAGTGAAAACTCCAATCACTGATCCTTCTTCTTCCATACATTCCAATCCAAAATGCATTTCAGGTTGGAATATCTGGAAATAAAATGGTCTTCTGAGTAATTCTTGAACTCAAGATGCAAAAGACATAACATTTTGTTTTGGTCATCTGAAAAACCCTCTTTTAAGTGGGTATAAAAGTGAAAAAAGTACACTTGTGTTTTAAAGCAGTGACCATTTTCTTCTTTTTATCTTACTTGTTAGGTAGACTGGAACCAGCTTAAGACAGAAAGTTTATTGCATCCCATGCAATTTTAACTTTCATGGACATTGCTGCACTAATATAAAACCAATAAAAATTTATATTGATTTTAGAAGGCTTGATCATTTCATTAAAGAATTTAAATCACACTGATTTCTAGTTATTTTTCCAAGATTATTAGAATTCCATGGTATTTTTCCATATGCAACAGTTTGCCAAATTTGTAAAAATTATTTCAAGAGTTGTAAGAGTTATAACATTTGATACTGCCAAATTCTTTGACAATTATTATTATATAGTATATTTTAATAAATAAGAAAATATTCATCAATCTGCTTTTACTAATACATAATTTATAAGGTTCTATATATGAAATAAAAATCTATATATATAACCCATTCAACGGGTGTCCGTCCTCGTAACCATTTGATAACGGACACTAGAGGCGCCCCTATCGTGTGTCATATTTCAAACATTCAAATTAACAATTTTAATTATTATTTAAATTAACAATATAAATTATTATTATTCATTTGGCCCATAATTATTTGGTCAATATAACAATATAAATAATTCAGTATATTTGTAATAGGAATTTATTATTTCAGGGGCTTATATCTCGCAAAGGGTTGCGAGTAGGGGTATGGTTCTTTTGACTTTGTTTGCACAGGGGCTACAGTTTGGGGGGTCGCCACCTCTTCATTCAGAGGGTAAATCTTACCATTGGGACTTTAACACAGCTGTACAGCATATTGATAGGAACAAAAAAGTCAAAGGAACTGTGCCTCATGGAAATTTGTAAATAACGTCACTAGGGGGCGTCCCAGGCTACTAGTTTATTAATAAATGAATCAGTTATCAAATACATATCATATACACAGTTTTGGAATTTTAAATTTTTGCAATTTTTTTGTACCATTGACAAGAATTTTATATAGAGAACTTTTAAAATTAAACTTGATGTCATTCCTTACCTTTAGATCTCGTCTTTCCAAATGTAACAATTCGGATCCTCGTATATCGTGCTTTATAAAATTCTCTTTATATTCTGCCATTTGGATATTTTCCAACCATAATGCAACTTCTTCCGTACCCCAAGATGATATGGAGGATAAAATATTAATTCTCTGTTCTGTTGGCGTTCCGCATCCCGATCCTTCACAAAAGCCACCTCCATGCTTTGAAATTCCACTTTTGCCGCTTTGTGCCGATGAACCGACTTTATAAGTTTTTGATTGTTTCTTGAATTTCAATCTGAATAGGCTTCGATAATGACGTTTCTGTTCTTGCTGTGAGTTGAGGTAAGAAGACAGATTCATATTTTTTTCAAAAATTTATTAGATAAATTAGGATCAAGGGTTATTTCCATGCATCACATGCAATTGTAAGTAATTTTAGTAACTTATAAGTAGTAAAATTGGACTGATAAACAAATTGTCATAAATTCCCAATTTGTAAATTTTCATGCATTACGTTCAAAATTTAATTCTTTTTTTAGTAAAATTATAAATTCTTCAAATATTGACTTACTTCTTCTTCAGACTGATGAAAATAAATAATTCCTTGTGATTCAATACACTTTTTTAATTCCAATTCTGCCTGATTTAAAACTGTGTTAAAACGCTCTTCTAAATCTGGTCGTAATTGCTATTATTTGAAAAAAAAAACGTTTTACATTAATTCATTCATTTTCATTTTTAAATATTCCATTATAAATGTAAATCAAAACTTTATCTAAGCATTTAAATTCCTTCTCATTTCAAACAAGTGAAGGAAATGAAAAATATGTTTAAATAAAAATTTATTATTTTGGAGTACAGAATTATAAAACATACTTACATTTTAACACCAAAAACAATATTACTTACTAACTTTTATTTAATACTGAACATAAAAATATAACAGAATACTTTCAATAATACTTTAGGTGAACAGAACAGAATACATGTTTGACAAGTTCTTGCAACTTATAGTTATAATGGGTGTCCAGAAAAAATCCACAAAAAGTATCTCAGGCTATAACTAATAACAATAATTTTTAATTATAGTGCACATGCTATAATTTGAAAATGTGGAATGCTGTAGAACATCCTATAATCTTTTTCAGAATTTGACTTTCTACTTCTTTCAAAATGGTAATGAAAGATGCTTCGTGTCTAAAAGTGTACAACTTTTTTCCTAAAGTTTAACATAATGTTTTATTTAAACTATTTTGCAAATAAAGAAATTTCAAAAGTAATTATATATATTGCATTCTGTAATGTTTCAACAATAGATTACTACCACAGAGAAGAAACAGGTCTGATAGAAAAGTGAAAATTCTAATGAAAACCAAATTGGAAGGATTGAAGGGTGTCTTTGAAAACAACAACAAGGTTTCAATTCAATTTGTAGCCTTGAAACTGAAAATTTCATGTAGTTGGATTCACGAGGCTTTGAAAACAAAAAAACACATTAGATATTGAAAGAAACAGATAGAATAAACACACAAGATGAAATGAAATGCAATAGGCTACTGCAACTTTAAAGAACTTTTGAAAAGTTCTCTGAATTTTAGATAATGAATCTTACTTTGTCCTCTCACATTCAATGATCAATGGTAATGATCATTTTCATACCAGTGATATATCCTCTACACATACCAATGTAAAGTTTTCCAAGAAAAAGAAATTTGAGGGCAAAGTTTTGGTTTGGATTGCAATGGGACCAAAAGGATTGAGTCAAGTTTTGCTATCAATGCCCAGTGATATTAATGCCAAGTGAGTGTATATGACATTGCCTCATTTTTTACATTTGAAAGAACTATTCTCAGGCAGAAAATGACTTCTGGCCAGATAAAGCAAGTTTCCACTACACCAGATTACAAGAAAACATCACTTTCATCAAAAATCAAGCAACAAGTTAGATACTTTTTCCGGGAAAGTTATTCATGTTTAAGAAACACTAAGACACATTAGCAAGTTAAAATTTTGTGTGGTATCATCTATTATGACATAATAATATAAAAATTATCCTAAAATGTCAGAAAAAGCTTAATTTTGAGGGTAGGAATTAGTTGTATTTCTAAAAATATTATTTTAAATGTTAATGATGAGTAAAATTTTCATTAAGTCCATACACTCGAGATATGATACATTATCCCCTCAACCTTTAACTAACAAAATTTAATAGCACCAATACCTGTTATTTACAAGTTACTGTGCCAAATTTTGTTTCTTAACCTTTATCATATCATGAGATAGACACCAATACAAACACACACATCCTAGGTATCAATTTTTTGAATTTGTTGATCTCAAAACATAAATATTACAAAACCCAGATTGTCAAATGTGACAATTACAATATTATAATTAGGAAATAACAGGAAAGTAACAGGAGGACAACCTTGTAAATGTGCCAGAAATTAGGCCAATTGAGGATTTTTGGGCAATTTTTAAGGCAGCCATTTATGAAAAGAGGTAGAAGGCAAAAAACAAGGATTATCTTTATAGATCATACTGTATGCAATTGATAAGCTGATCAATCACATAATGTACTGTCTGAAAACTGTAAACCAAAGTTTTGTACAGCATACCTGATATCAAATCAACCATGGAGACTTGTAAAATTACAAAAATAAAAGATAATGTAAAGTTTTTCCATCATCTTTCAAATGACTATTTACTTTACAGTTTTTTTTCCAAGGTAAAAACCACATTACACAGATTTATGCAGATTTTTCAGACATCAATTAGAACATTTTAAAATTTATAGAATAAAACTTGATATGTGTAACAAGTAGCTATTAAAATTTTAAAAGCCAAACTCAAAATACATTTTAGCAAGAGAGATGAGAGATGATGTTACATCTAAATCTTGCTAAAATGTATTTTGAGTTTGGCTTCTTAACAGGTTCTTACCGCAAATTTTGATGTCCTTTATTACTTCTGATTTTATGTTTAATTTTTAATCCTACACTCCTCAAAAGTGAAATTGCAACACCTCAAAGGAATGCTTGTAGCCACATGCAAATGGGTACATGTCAACTGGGTGATTCATAATGGGCAATAGTCCAGTAAGCAACAGAAAATTTTAAATTTTTGCATGCTTAGCAAACATGGTTTGGCAGATATTGTTTTTTGTTTGTAAATTAGTAATCAGTAGCATAGCGGGGGTGCAAGGGGTTTTTTTTTTTTTTTTTTTCATTTGTTAATCATCATTTCCCCTACTGGGGATCAGCATCACCCTTGCCCCGCTATCTGCACCACAAGGGAGACTTTACTTTTATTCATTAATCTTTAAACCGTGTTACATTAAACAATATAAAAAAGTTTGTATAAGACTTTTATACAATAGGCTACTTGCCTTAGAATTTATCATTTGACAATCATTGGGGTACAACTCGCACCCCTTTAATTCACGACAATAACTTTCGCGTGAAGGACTTCAATTCACCCACAAGGTCTTTCTGTCGTAATACCATGTATAAGTCAATACCATTAGTTTGAAATGTCTGATTAGATAACAGTCTAAGCTGCATCCTATCTTGTTCATGTTTAAGACAGTCATCTAGAAGATGCTGTAGGTTGTGATCACCATTCTTGCAGTCACAGGAGATATCTTGTGTTCTGTTGACTCTTCTAAGATATTCTTTTGTCATGCAATGATTCGTAAGTAGTTGTGTCATGTAATAATCGGGTCTGAGCCATCTAAGCTCGTACATTCGTTCCTCAACACTTGGAAGCAGCCAGAAAGTGTGTCTTCCCTTGCTGCCGTTACTCCACTCATCCTGCCACTCATTAATAGTTAGTTGTCTTAATTGTCTTTTAATGTAGGATACTGGGATTCTATTATATGATATATCAGCCAGATTTGTAGCTGCTTTAGCAAGTGCATCTGCGCCTTCATTGCCGCTTATGCCGCAATGGGCCTTAACCCACTGGAACCTTACAGACATTTTACTATTCGTTATTAGAGTCTTGATATCAAGTGCTAATTGGCTTGTGTCATTAAACTGTTGCAGGGTCTGCAAGGCAGCCCTACTGTCCGTTAAAATCTTAACTCGGTCCAAACGTAGCGTATTAATGCACCATTTGATTGCACCCAGAATGGCCAGCAGCTCGGCCTGAAAAACCGAGCAGTGATCTCCTAGCCTTAGCTGTTGTTGATAGATGATTGCCTGATTCTCCTTCACCAGGAAGGCAGCACCAACCCGGCCGTCTACCTTCGACCCATCTGTATAGATGTGAACTCCATTACTATCTTCGTCTTCCACCAGAGTAATAGCTCGTCTATTGTATGGTTTCGGTAAGTCTCTAACTTTCGGCCTTGTCTCGTATTGAGGACCTACCATTTCAATATCCCCAATCCTCATCGATCTGCCTTTCCTGTACTTATAACAGTACGCTTTTTCTTTTAATATCATGTCGATCGGTGGTGTACCGGCCAGAACCAATAGAGCCTCTGTTGAGACGGTCCGAAAAGCTCTCGTTAGCCTTAGCAGAGCTATCCTTTGTGCACTTCTCATTTGGCGTTTTATTATTACCTTGTCTGCTGCCGAATACCAAACACCCGCAGCGTATGTCATTTTGGGGATATAGGCCCCTTCATAAATCATTTTAATAGCCTCTTTGTTTAGACCCCAATGGGCCTTTGCTACTCTCGCCAGGGCATGAAAAAGGTTGGTACAAGCTATTCTATTGGTCTTCACATGCGGTAACCATGTGAGGCGATGATCCAGGACTACTCCTAGATACTTCATCTGTTTTTCAACTTTTATTCCCTGTCCTTCCATTTTTAATGTTGGGGTCCTGCGGTAGAGATCCGGAGTAGATCCTTTCGAGAAAACTATAGCCACAGTCTTTTTGGGGTTAAATTGAAGCTTTAACTCCTTACCCCTTTGCGATATAAGGTTTAGGGCTGTATTACCTTTAGATTCGATATCTCTCCTTGATTTAGCTCCAAAAAGGATGATCGTGTCATCTGCATATGCAAACTCTGTAATTCCTTCGCCTTTATTTGTTTTCAAGAAGTTATCATATGCAATGTTCCAGAAAAGGGGTCCAGAATTGGATCCCTGCGGACAACCTCTGCTAAGGGTCCGCTCAGTAGTAGTGCCATTCATTTGATATATAACTTTCCTTTCATTTAAATAGTCGCTCACCAATTCATAGATATTTTGAGGACAACCTGCTTTCCTCAGCGTGCTAAGGACCAGGGGCCACCACGCATGGTCGAAGGCCCCCTGTATGTCCAGACTGATTGCACAGCAATACTTGTTTGAGTTTAATGTACTTGTAATGACATCCATCACTTTTTCAATTACATCCTCAGTACTTCTGTCAGGTAGAAACCCATGTTGTTTTGGGCTAAGGAAGTTCCGTTGCTCCAGATGCTGGAGAATCCGTTGACTAATCATATAATCTAGAACTTTTCCTAATGCCGGCAAAAGGCTAATCGGACGGTAACTCTTAGTCAAACTCTTGTCAATATTGTCGCCTTTAGGTATAATTACCAACCTTGCCGCTTTCCAAACTTTAGGGAAGGATCCGAACCTGAGGCAGAGGTTATACATCTGCTGTACATAACCAGGATTAATTTCCCATATTTTGTGAACTATCTCTGCGCAGATTTTATCAATTCCTGGCGCCTTACCCGGCTTAATCCGGCGGATGGCATTGCCAACCTCTTCCTTCGTGAATTCGGGATCCATTTCGTTCAAGTAGTTGGTTTTTACTACGTTTCGGATTTGTCTTTGTGTCCATCGTGTCACTCTCTGGGTCATCCACTGGGAAGAACCCTTTAAGTAAAGTATCTATAGTGCCATCGAATCCATATGTGTAAGTGGAACCCTGATAAATAGCTGTTAAGTACTGTGGTTGCTTAATCTTGCCTGCGCAAGCTTTATAGATATATCCCCAGGGTTTGCTTGAGCTCTGAGTACAGAACTCCCGCCAGGATTTAACCTTTTCATCCTTGATTTTCGCTTTATATTGATTGCAGTGGTCTTGATATTCTCTTCTCTTCCGTTCTCTCTCCTCGTTCCTTTGAGTCCTCTGGTATCGGCGCCGAAGCCGATTGTTCTCTCTCCGCATCCTTCCTAGTTCTTTCGTCCACCATGGGACTTTTCTCCGTTCTTTCTTTTTCTTAGGGATTGAACGCTCACACACCCGGATCAGGTTATTTTGAAATTCCGCTATCGTCAGTTCTGCTAGTTCTCTTGTAGTAATGTTTTGGAGGTTTGTTTCATTTATGAGCTCCTCAAGCAGAGTCTGAAAGAGGGCCCAGTCTGCTTTATTCACTGCGTACTGTAAGCTATCCTCGTCCTCCATCCATTGACAGTGTCCCAACTCCATTAAAATGTAGCCGTGATCGCTGAGGCTGCTGATGGGGGCCACAGCCCAAGAATTGATGATGTTGAGAGCCTGACCATTGCAGATAGTCAGGTCAATCCAACTTTGACCTATTGGTGCGTCGAAAGTTGGAGGCGACTCGGGATCGTTCACCACATGTAACTGGTTCGAATTAACAAAATCAAGAAAAAGTTCAGCTCTGTCATCGTTGTTTTTGTCGCCCCACAGATGACTATGGGCGTTGATGTCTCCACCAATGATAATGTTCTTATCTTCAAAATTTTTAATCACTTCATCTAAGTTAGACAGTAATGGACCCAGGTCCTCTGTAATTGGGCTATAGATGCTCACTAGTAACAAGCTGTTCTGTCCTCCTCCTATCTCGAGGCAGGTCAAGTCACGGTTGCTCCAGTTTTCATAAAATAGAACTGGTATGGAGCTGTTGTTGATAATGGCTAAGGTACGCGGTCTGTCGCCGCCTACCGCGTTATAAAGAGTCCTATAAGAAGACCTTAAACAATTAGGTACACCTCTACAACAGTAGGGTTCTTGTACTATTGCTATATCTATTGTTTCCATCATTTTTGTTAACGCTGAAGTAGCCCCTATGGATCTTTGAACATTCACTTGGACAATCGTAAACTTTGTGTTGCTACAATCTTTAGGTACTGCCATAATCAATCTTAGCAGTGATTAATCTTCTTATCTTTTGTACCAAGGGGCATTTTTTGTCGAACGCATTGTGGCCAATTTCTTTTAGTTTCTCTCTTTTGCAGTTGCAGCACTCCGCCTTATGCTTGCTGGGGCATTCACGGAACCTGTGATTTTTCCCACATTGGCTGCATATTATGTCACTATTTGGGCAGTTTTTGGATATGTGTCCCAGTTGACAGCACTTAAAACACTGGGTTACGTTGACGTAATCTTCAAGTCCACATCTGGACCATCCCACATTGATCTTCTTTCGCTTTAGCAGAATTCGACGAACTCTCGGGGATACTTCTATTATCCAGTTAACTACTCTTTTCTCCCTGTTGCCAAATTGGTACTTCATTTCAACTTCGCTGGTGTATTCTTCGTTGCTGAGGTTAGAGCTGAGTTCATCATTTTGTTCGTATATGCACTGTAGAATTTCATCCTTTGGAGTGTCTTTTGCCACCCCGTAAACGATTAGTCTTGGTCTTCGCTTTCGCGGTTCTCTTGTCTTCAATCCTGTTTGATCTTCTATTTCTTTACATAGTCTCTGTTTTCCTTCTATTGTACTGATTTCGATGGCTAGTCCACCTCTTCGCAGTTTGCGAACTGCCTGTATGCCCACCCCCAGCTTTCTTGGGTTTACTTTATTCTTCAATTCTTGTTTGATTTGTTCGGGATCGTCTCCTTCCCGACGTGGCTCAACCAGTATGACTTCCTTGAGTTTTTGGAGCTTTCGTCCTGCAGCAACTTCTGCATAACTTTGCACTGGTGTCAGCGTTTTACTTAACACTTGATCCAACTTCTTGTTGATTCGATCCATCGCAGCTTGCAACGGATCAGCATCCGTGTTCTTAAATATGTTGATGATCTTATCTATTTGCTCCACCACGAAGCTGATGTGGGTTTTGGAGCAGATTCTACTTTTGCTATTATTAAGCATATATTCTTCAACTTCATCCCTGATGCTCTCTGCAAGCAAGACTTTTTCGTCCTGCAGAGAGACCTCCATCTCCTGCGACGACACCTCGTCATCGGTCTCAGAGGCTTTGTGCCTCTTAGCCATAGTCCTTAAAAGGACTCTTTAACGTGTTAAACTGGCGCAGTAGACTGTTTGGTTTCACCCTCTAGGGGTTACTCGCAGGCAGGACCTCGTGAAGGTACAGTCACCGCTTCCCCTTGGTCTCGTTATAATACCAAGAAGCAGAGCAAAAGAAATCACAAGGCAAATTACTCGCCTAAAAGCGCACAATAAAGCTCACGAAAAAGCACAAACGAAACAAGTTGGGGCACCCTGCCCGGTGCAAGGGGGTATATCATGCATCAGGCGCCACTTGCAGAGGGCACCCAAATGGTCTCCAAGACAAACTATATGTGTTTCTGGAGGGGGGAGAGGGCGCCAATAAAGTGTCGTGCCGCAGGCACCAGTTATGTTTGCTATGCCACTGTTAGTAATATATTGATATATATAAATATAAATATGGTTAAGACTTATGAGGAATAAGATATTTCCAGGGCTTAAAGCAGTCATGGCAGTGAAAAAAAAAAGAGTTCACACTGAAAAAAAGCTAATAGTGTTAAAGTGAACTAAAAGAGGCATTATTAAAAAAACACACAAACACACATACATTTTGTATCAATAACATTGCATATGATATTAGATTGATTTTTATGGACTGAAAAAATGAAAAGTAGTCTAAAATCAAATTCAACATTTGAATATTGGTTTAATTATAGTACTCTCTCTCACTAATCTGACCATCCCTTGCATGGAGATGTGCAGGATCACTGCATATGAATAGGCCTAAATACAATGAATGGCATGACCTGTCATGCCATCATTTATCCACCTGCCCTTTCTGAAGGCAGGCTGGTAAATGATGTGGCACACTGACATAAAACCAGGTGAACAGAAAAACAGGATGTATAACATAACTAACATTTTTGTGGAAACAGAACTGCATAGGTGATTACACTGGATGGTATGCTGGATAATTGAAGGCTGAATTATCAAGAATTTGCTGTATTTAAATGTATTTCTGCTTTAGCATGCATATATACCAAATTTTACAGCATATAAGATGCAACTTTTTCCAAAAGACTCAAAAAATATCCTGCATCTTATATGTGAAGTTGCAATCTCCCACAAACTAATGAATCCCCAAATCGTATTCAATAGGTTACAGGTATATTCTACCTAACCTAACTCTTGAATAAAGATGTTATAGTTTAATTTATTATTATTATTATTATTATTATTATTACTTTTTAAAACCAGAATACAGTAAAAAATATTTTGGGACAGAGTGCCAAAGACATGGAATGGCTTAAATACACTAAATACTTTTTTCCTAAATATTCTGTCTTATATGCCATAAAATATGGTATACAGTTTAGAAAATAAGACTTTAATTTTGTTTAAAAGTCATTATTATTACATTCAATAACTCATTTGTTAAGTCCTAGATAAAAATATATTAAATATCAATTTAGACTATAAAGAGTATAAAACTTAATACATATTAAGCTGTATACTCTTTATTTAAACTTTATTATTGACCATGATTAATAACTTAATCATGATCAATAGTAGAAATATATCTGATAAATTTGAAGTTACTTAAATACATAATTTTTAATTCCCATAATTTAATTTTAGTAAAGCTAATTTCTAGAAACTTTTAAGAATATGGCTACTTATACAGAATGCTATTTTTGTTAATTAATTAATAATAATATAAATAAATTACAGGTAAATAGCATGTGTCTGGTGAGAACCTCACAGGTTGCCAGATAGGTTTTAAAAAAGTACAGCAGAATTACTCAAAATGTAGACCAGATTATTTTTAAAGTGGCCCAAAAAGTAGTAAATTGCCCAAATGTAAACGCTTAAAACCCCTACAAACATCTCAATCTGCTACTCATAGCCTAATCTTACAATCCCAAAACCAGCTGTATATTATGAAATAAGAGAAAAAAGGGTAGTCCATATTTAAGGTGACACCCAAAAATGTGTTACTGTAAAAGCAGTCATATTGACCAGATTAGAGTTGTTCTTGGTCTGTTGTTCTTTTATAGCATGGAGGCACTTTGATCTAAATGATCGAGTTAATATCACAGTTCAGACAATTTTCACTTTGAATTATGAAGTAGTCGTATTTTGAACTAACCAAATTCTCTATATCCCCGGCTGCAACAAAAGTACAGTTATAAACTAGCAGGATTTCGAATTATCCAAGTTTGAATTAATAAGATTTTTAAAAATATGACTTACAATTTCATCTGTTTTATCTCTTAAAAAATTAGAAGTTTCTTGATAAAGCTGGCGGACATTTGCTACCAGTTCTGTTAGATGCTGACGAACATGCGGCTGTAATAAAACAACAACAAAAACAAAATTATAGTAAACAAAAAATTTATATAATACTCAAGGATATATATTAAAATACTATATTTACACATGCATAGGTTGCACTTTTTCCTGAAAATATTACTCAGATATAATTTATTTCAAATATAAGCTGCATCCCAATGCAGCTTATTATTTGAAATAACTTTAAATTGTTTAAAAATTAAAACACATTTTTCTGTTATTGATAATAATTGATATGTACTGTACAGTACCATATATACATATATAAGTGTAAGAAGTGCCTCTGTTCCTTTGATGATGAAAATTTTTGATTGTTATCAAAAGTCCTCATTTTTGTTGCTGTTGTCAATTATTGTCAAGGTCCAAAAGAGATTCATGTCACATAGAATAGTCTTCACTTTCATCCAGTGCATTAAATATTGATGTTATTTTAAAACTTTTGGGCATCATTTCTGAGAGTATTGATACAATCCACTTGCACATTTGATACAATGATGTTTTAAGAAAGCATCTGCTAGGTGTCATTTTTGAAGAATGTGTCGTACATCTGCTCTAGGTATGCTTGAAAAGAGCATTTTCCATACCAATCACATCTCCAGATATTACCACATTATATTTTTTCTTTTAAAACTTGACTCAGAAACTGTCAATCAGAGTTTCTGAGGAATTTGAATAATATAGAATGCTGACTTAAGAGAATGCCCAAACACCAAATTCAACTGAATATCCTGGTAGAGTTATTTTATTATTCAGTTGTTTTCTTTCACACATACCAAAATTTGCTCCAATAATTTCTCCTTCAAAAGTATTTTTCATTTAAAAATCACATATAATGGTAGCTTGATTCGATCAGCAGTGATGACTAGAAAGATGATACATTGCTGCTTTTCTGCTCTTGTTGTTTACACTTGCATTGTATTTTGGTCTGCCTTGTTTACTGTTGTTTTTCCTGGTATACTGAAAAATAGAGTTTCATTACTGTTGGCTCCCAAGCTGTACTCATGATATTTTCTCAGTGTAATTGTGGCCTTTCAGCCATTGTCTTTTTCTTCTTTTTTCAACTTTCCTCTAAAACAACAGACTCAGAAATAGCACAGGTTTCCATTGGATTAGGATTGGTTGAAATTGGGAGAATAAATGGAGAATACAGAGAAAGAAGAAGACAAGTAGGAAAGAATGGTAAGAGTGTACACAAGGTGTGTTAAATATGGACAAAGTTCTATTTCTAGTTGGAACAAAAGTGATAAAGAACTTACACTGTATAGTGCTGTTTTACAAGTCTGATGCAAAGAATGAAAATGATAAACTTTTATTTTTCATCCCAGTGAAGCTGTAAGAGAATAATTTGTAAACTTGATTTTAATAAGTGTGGGGTGCTGTGTTTTGAACAAAGAAAAGCAGACAACACTAAGAACGAAAGTAATCGTACATTAAAACTAGGAATACAGCCAGAATGGGGTCGTAGGGAAAATATACATACAATAAGACTAGTTGCCTTCAGTCCAAGTTCTCGCTTTTTTCTTCACTCAGTCCATTGTTTTCTCCCACAAGTTCCTCCTCTTCCTCCCACAGTCAAGTCTTCACAAAGAAAAAAAAAGTATCCCATGCACCTCTTACATTCCTTATATACATATCGCCCCCTCGTATTACATTCCAAAGCACAAATTAAGAAAAGAAAATACAGACAAATATTATAACATGTAAATATTTGCATTGACATAACGTTACTAATAATACACATAAATAATAATATTTTAGTATGAAAGAAACATCACATTTAAGCCTTCATAAAGGGAGGAAGAGAAAAAATATATATATATGGTGGGTACCACCACAAAAGGAATATCCTCTGTAACTATTCATAACTGAATTCTTATATCAATAATTGTCAGAACATATTGCAACCACTTTGTTTTATTTCCTGTTTACAACTCTTTTTAGTACTAATTTAGATGAGTACATGTCATTATTTGTTAGGTTATTCTGCATGTAAAATATCTTTTTATTGGGAAAAGGACTGTTTTTAACATGAATATCAAAATCAGCTTTTGTTGAAATCCCAATTCTTCTTCTTAAAGCTGGAATTTACTACAGTAGAGCATCGATTATCCGACTCAATTGGGGACTGGGGTTGGTCAGATAACTGAAAAAACGGATAACCGAAAAATATGAAATAATACATTATTAGTATAGTATATTAGTATATCACTGTTAACCTACTTCGTGTTGAATTTTCATCGATGTTAAGCCTAACAAAAATTTTTTTTAAATAATAATCGTCGCTATTGTTTCATTAAAAATTAGAAAATTAAGCCTCGTTTAAATACTGGCTCCCTTTCATGNATACAGTAGAGCATCGATTATCCGACTCAATTGGAGACTCAGGTTGGTCGGATAACTGAAAAAAATTGGATAACCGAAAAGAAGGAAAAAAATACATTATTAGTATAGTATATTAGTATATCACTGTTAACCTACTTCGTGTTGAATTTTCATCGATGTTAAGCCTAACAAAAATTTTTTTAAAATAATAATCGTCGCTATTGTTTCATTAAAAATTAGAAAATTAAGCCTCGTTTAAATACTGGCCTCCCTTTCATGGTCAAGCCGTAGTTGCCAACTGAAACACGTAAAAATGCTATTAAAGTAGCCAAGACATAGCCAAATATTGTAGCGCCACATCACTAGTGGACATTTGAATTTGCCGACTAGAACAGTCGGTTAACCGATGTGACTGTTAATCAGGGGTCGGATAATCAATGCTCTACTGTATTTGTTTTGATATCTTGTACCTGCATTTGTAATTAAATTGTTTTTATTAATTCATTTTCCTTGCTGTTTATTTTTATTCATAACATCAAGCAAGGTTCATATGATAGTGTGTTTCTGGAAGTTATGTTGTTGATATTCTTCACTCTATGACAATATCATATTGAGCCATAAATTGCTTTACTCAATCATTGAAGGCTTGTGTACTAGCATTGAAGCATTTCAATTGACACACTGTCAGTTAAAATGCTTCTGTTCATAAAATGTCCATAAAATGAGAGAATTTCTGTTTGCCTTCATTTTATGGACAAAGTTGATGAGATCAGTTTCCATGAGGATACTTGGCTTTCATTCCCCAAAATGCTTGTCAATTTTTTGCCAAAGTCTTCTCAAGGATGATCTTTTCTTGAATTCACCAACAAACAATTTTCTTGTTGACAGCATGTCTTATCCCTACTCCTCTCTTGACATTTTCTTCTGCATATATGGCAAATTTCAAGTTATAAAACTTGCTCAGACTTAAGACATGTGACACACAACAAGAAGAAGAAATAAACAATGAATGGCATTTCCATACCCCCAAGGATATGTCCTCTAAAGGTAGCAGAATTGGTTCAGGAAACAAGATAATTCTCTCTTTTGAGTTCATACCATATTTTTTCAATACTTCCTATAGTAAACAAAAGCTTGAATAATTTATTACACCAAACTTCTTTTTGAAAATTAAAATGCAGCTTATATACATATATGAATACAGTAATAAATGTCATGTCAAAGTTAAATTATTATTTACTACCAATTTTTGCCAATTTTTAATCATTGCTTGATCACATTTTATCTTATAAATTTTTCATTGACTTTTACATCCAGATGTCTTCTTGATTTTCTGTTGGATTTATCTATAATATTTATTGTTTGCACATTTGTAAATGTCTTTTTTTTTTTTTCTAATTGAAGTTTTCCATGAATGGAATATGTTATAGATCATTTATTTTTCATTTAAATTATATAGCAAATAATAATCATAAAATAACAACAATTAAATAAAGATTAGCTTAATTACTAAAGTATTGTATTGGTTAATGTTTATATTTAACCTAAAAATCGTTAATAAATTTTTATTTTATATCAGTATTATGAAACTTAATTATAGTTAGAAATATAAATATGCATTTACAGTTTTGAAATATTTACTGAAATACTCTTATCTTATCTGATATATTTAGTTATATCAATAATATAAAATAATTATTTCACAGTTCTTCCTGAGTTTGAAATATAACTAACATAATTATATAATTCTATTAAATTTAGTACAATTAATTCTGATGGTTTAGCTGATTTTACAGTTATTTTTTCATGGGCAATTTCATTTCAAATTAAAACGATTTCTTTTATATTTCAAAACTGTTTTTACATGTTGTTTATTTTTGAAAAAGAAAAATGATATATACCCCTTCAGTTAAATGACCACCAGGAAATAGAGCATCAATGAAACATGAAGCACGAGATGCTAACATAAATAATTCTTGCTCGATTAAGGGATAAGAAATTGAGGCAGCCTTTACCCTGTAAAAGAAAATGAAGCAGCTTTGAAATAAATACTTTGTTCTTTAAAATTTTTCTAAAAGTTAAATTGAAAATCAACTCAAAAATTAATATTGTTTAACAATGATTTAAACAGTTTTGTTTGTAACAAAATTATTATTTATCAATTTAATCTTTACACCAATTATTAAAATTTCAATTAATAATTTATGAAATCAAAAAGATGAAATAAATTATTAAACCAATGTAAATGTTTTCAATTTACATTGGTTTACATTGTATCTATATATTCAAAACTTTAAATTTTGAAATAAAAACAAACATCTTATAAATACAGATGTTTTCTGAAAATATGCAATATATAAAAATAAAAAAATATTTTAAAATTATTTATAAATAAATAATATGTTCTATATATTCTTTCTGGAAGGATGATTCTGGACATCCTTCCAGGAAGAATACAAATTAAGTAACCTACAGAATACTCAAATTTTGTATGACATCAGGTGAAATGCACAATTCTCTCTCTCTCCGTGCAAATAGTTGAGAATAAATCAATTCCAATAGGATATAATAATAATATACTTTTAGCCATTTATTGTTACTGTAAAGTTGAGTAACTAACCCATGAGTTATCTGCCAATTTTAACTTGCAATTACAAACTCTATACAAAAGAAAAGTTTTTTGATGTCACCAAGAGTAGCCAGAATACATTAAAAAATTCTTTACATGCTACACCTATTCATCTGCCATTGTAATTTTCCCCCAAACCACTGAAGACACACATAAATATGCCTTGCCTTTAGTTTCCTCCTGTTTATTTACTGTACATCAATCCATGTTTTAATTGATAATTAAGCACTCCTGCCTGAACTTGAATCTTAAAAGTTTATAAATTTTTGATAATTCTCCTCACAACTCTCAAAAAACTGTTTAGAACCAGCTGTCAATTTGTCCTATTAATTGGTTCTCTGTGATGAAGATTAATCAATAATTATTCATTAGCTCTTTATAATGAATAGAATAAGAAATTGACTCTAACTCATGTCAATAGATATCATTGACATTAAAATCTTTTCTATTTAATTTTTTTGAGTTTATTTTAGTACTTATTACTATTATTGTTATCTGCGGTCTAAACTTTTTCAATCATTTTTGATGAGTAGTCAGTCAGTCTTGTTGACAATTAAGACATGACAAGTTAATTGTTATGTTAGTAGAATATACAGTAGAGCATCGATTATCCGACTCAATTGGAGACTCAGGTTGGTCGGATAACTGAAAAAAATTGGATAACCGAAAAGAAGGAAAAAAATACATTATTAGTATAGTATATTAGTATATCCCATGTAATTAGTTTATTAGTATATCACTATTAACCAACTTCGTGTTGAATTTTCATCAATGTTTAGCCTAACAAATTTTTTTTTAAATAATAATCGTCGCTATCATATCATTAAAAATTATTTTAAAATTGTTTTATTGCTCACGAAACAAACAACCACTCATAATTAAAAAATTAAGTCTCGTTTAAATATTGGCCTCCTTTCAATGGTCAAGCCGTTGATGCCAGCTAAAACACGCAAAAATTTAACAAAAATAACATTAAAGTAGCCAAGACATAGCCAAATATTGTAATGTCACATCACTAGCAGACATTTGAAATTTGCTGACTAGAACGATCGGTTAACCGATGTGATGGTTAATTGGGTGTCGGATAATCGATGCTCTACTATAAAATCTTGCTCTAGTTTTTATAAAGTGAATTTGATAACCAAAATAATTATATTCATTTAAAATGATAGTCCTAACTTTACACAAAATGTTTTGTCTCATTTATGTCTGTTGATAATATCCAATGACATAGTTCATTGGATATTAGCAACATTAAAATTATTTTCTACTTAATTTTTTCTGAGTATAAATAAAACAGAAATAAAACAATATAATAAAAAATATTGTCATTTGTAAGCCATTTATATTTTCAACATTTCTGAAGTTTAGGAGCTTTGATCTCAGTATTCTGTTTTTCCTTTTTACTTAATTATAAATGTTTATTGCAGTTAAAGTAATTAAAACTAATGGAAGTGAAACAAAAACCAATGTCTTCATGTTTAAGATTGGATTTTCTAAACTGTGCACTGGTAAGTGTTATACTTTCAATGGCTACTCAATCCACTTCAGTGGTGTGGGATATTCAATAATATGGTTTATGCAATGGTATTATTCCTGTTCTAGCAATTTTCTGCAGCATATATGCTGCTACATATTTCTTAAAATTACAATATTTCTTACAAAGGTTTTGTAAATTTAACTATTTAATTTATTTTGTAAATTTTTTCATCCGACGGAGATTATTATTATTAAAATTAAAGGCNTCGAAGCTATTGTACATTGCTGGAAAAAGTGTATCGAGCTAAAAGGAGACTAAGTTGAAAAATAAAGATATGTTTTACCAAATTTTTTGTGTCTTCTTTGTTAGGTCGGGTACTTCTGGGACTACCCTCGTATCTATACCTCCAGAGTTTGTCATCCTTAACATTGAAAAGCTCCTTGCATACAATGATATGCAATTACACTTTCTAAGATGGCAGGAGGTATTTAAAATGCATTAGAACAGACAGGTTAGTGAGGACCAGCATATTTGGACTGATATCTCAAACACATAAATGACTAGCAGATAATAGATTACCTATATCAATGCCAATAAAAGTAGAGCTGTGATTCTTTTAAAAATATCTACGTACATTGAATGAATGGAAGAATATATAAAAGGACATGGAATGTGTATAGGTGGAGGCAACTTATTTTGACAAGCTGCAGAGTAAAGTAAATAAGCTAATGCACTGTAATTTGACTAAAAAGTTGAACTCTCTCATGCTATTATAACATCTCCAGACACACCAAAGATTTTTGGTTATGCAAAAATGCATAAGACCATTACTTGACAAAGCTAGATTTCTCGCCATCATTATTGAAAAAATAATACATCAAATTCTGCATGACTACCTCAAAGGGTACTAATACATCATCTATATAAATAAATATAGTCTTTAATGTTTACAAGTGAGGATTATCACTTTCTATCTGGACCCACAAGATATTTATTGCTCTTTTACTAAAGCAAGTCACTCATTTAACTGTCTTAAGATCATTGACATGGCAAAAACCTAATTTGTCAAATGAGTCAGTGAAAAACAGTTCCACTTGTCCCATTTGACAAATATAAAATCTTACATTGATGTTCCAAACTGGCCAAAATAATTTTTCTGGATGTTAATATAATTTTAATACAATTACTAATTATGATAGGCTTACACTTGTTCAAAATAAATTCTACTATAATTTCTGTTTGTGAATCTCACAATAAACAAAAATAAAGAAATGAAAAATCCTCTCTCAACTTTATAAACAAACACTTCAAGAAAAGTCGAACAATTTATTTATTTGAGAAACACAGCTGTAAGAGATGGATTCAAATTCAAATTAATAAAGCTGGGGGGTCACTTAGAAACATTTAAAACAAATTTTTCTTTAAACTCTAGATCAGTGATGCACAAACTATTTTCATTTCTGACCCCCCATTCTGTGTAAAATTTTGTCACAACCCCTGGATAGATAGTAGACATTTTTTATCATCAACTTAGTTAGTAAAATTTTTTCTGGAATTTGCACTTATGTTTCTGCTTTATTAGAGGTCTGAATAAAACACACAATTTTATGAAATAATGGTTTTTATTCATGCATATTGGAATAAATATTTATTTAATGAAAAATACTTTTAATAAAACTTTACATCATAAGAATTCAATGTGAGGTATGCTATTCTATTTTTATAAATAATATAATTTCATTTCACTATTTTACTGGTACCTGATATTGTTGAAGAAAAGCCTTATATTTTTTATTGTCAAATAAATTTTTTTGAATTTGGCAACACCGAAAAATGTTCTCATGACCCACAGGTTGCACACCACTACTCTAGATATTAGTTTTTGATAAAGGTTCAAATTTAAATTTTGGATGATTAACAATACTAAGATGAAAATACAGTAGAGCGTTGATTTTCCGAAAGTCAATCATCCGAAACGTCAATCATCCGAAAGAATTCCAGTCGGCAAATTTAAATTTTCGCCAGTGCTGTGGCGCTGCAATCTTTGGCTATGTCTTGGGCTACTCAAATATTTTACGTTTTTGATACTAAATTAACATCTGAAGTATAATTTTTTATTGTTTTTATATTTTTCAATATATTTATTTTGTTTGTACAAAATAAAAAAATAATTTTTAACGATACAATAGTCTTTGTTAGGCTTAACATCGACGAAAATTCAACGCGAAGCGACACGCAACGGAGAAAAATTTCAACATCGGATACGTTAAACTATTTTTTCGTACATAAATCGGTTATCCGAAATATCAGTTATACGAACAACCTCAGTCCCCAATTGATTCGGAAAATCGACGCTCTACTGTAAATGCCTTTAATGTATGTAAAAAGTTAAGTGATATTCATATTTAAAAAAGAAAAAGGAATAATGTTATTCAATTATGTGGATAAAAAATGATAACACTATGATATAGTTTGAGAACAAAAATTCAAAACCACTAAAATAATATTTAACATGGAACCATCTGACTCAAAAAGAAAGAAGCAAATCTGAGGAATATATGCAGAAAGATAATCACAGCACAAATTATTTGATCTATTACTACCATTGAATAAAACATGAAGAAAAAGTCTAAGACTTCTAAGTTTCAATAAAGATGAATATAGTATACAGATGAATGAACAGATGGAATTTTATGTTTTTTTTTTTTTAATTTACTTAACAAATGATATGGTGTACTAAAAAAATATAATTAAACTTGTATTTAGTTTAAATTATAGACAAATAAAAATGGAACTAATATACTAAAATAATGATAAATATCATTAATATGCTACATGATTTCTCATTCTCAATATATAACTGGTCAAAACACCTTAATTTTCTAAGAATTATCATATCCACAGATGTAATCATAAGCCAATCAACAACTTTATTGGGTAAAATAAAGTTGTTGATTGGCTAACGATTACATCTGTAGACATGATAATTCCTAGAAAATTAAGGTGTTGACTGGTTATATATTGAGATTAAAGAAATTGAATAGAAGCAAAGTATAATGCAAAATAATGCAGCTGAAACTTCACTCTATATTAATATCATATTAGAAGAAAATATAAAATTAAAAAAAAAATGCTAGTTAGATCTTTATTAATATTGTTTGGATATAAGTTTCCGATTTGAAATTGGTAAACTTACAGTTGTAATGATATTTTAGGACTGGCTTAACTTAATTGTACTATTGTATCATTTAATTGTATATATTGTACTAAAGAATACAATTAAATGGCCAGAGAGGAGTACAGTTAAAAAAAATAACTTGTCAGATATTTTCAAAGACCCAATGTTTTGTACTGTATTTCAAAAAATGTTTGAATGTTTGAATGCATTATTGATCCTTTTAAAGTTTCATATGCTTTAAAAGCTTCTTTTGTTTAGGTAGATATACATAGTTTGAGTGAGATAAATCTAAATATCTCAAAATCAATGTGCAGTCCAGTTTTTGACTGTTTAAAAACATTACTTCTGACATATTCATCTAATGGATCTGGAAATTCCAAATCTTTATATTTGTTTTTCTTGATATCATAAATTTGTTTCAGTATCCTATGAATTAAAAAATTTTCAGGCCTTGTTCACTTGTGTGCCATTCAATTACAAATAACTGGAAACACAGAATGGTAGTTCAAGTAAGTATTTCATACATAGCATGTGCATGTTTTTGTTTATCTAAAAATACAGCCTATAGAATATGCTAAAATGTCACAATCCAATTACTAGTATGTAGTACTAATTGTATATATTAATACATACTTATTGTAGTTAATAATATTAAAGTTATCAAGCACTGTGTTTTGAATATGAGATGAAATCACTTACGTTCGAACTAAAGAGGAAGCCATTTCTACAAATCCAGTAACCAGTGAAATTTCCTCTTCTGAAATAGGCATCAGTTGCAATGTTCTGCTAGGAACTATTGTACGTTTTTCTTGCCAAGTCTTAATGGTAGATTCTAAATGCTAAAAGGCAATTAACTTTTGTATATTAAAACTGAATCTTATCCAGTTTATATATTTATTATTTATTATTATTATATTTATGTTAAAAATTTTTTAAATGAATAATCACAGATTTTAGTATACTTATAAAACTAACTTTTATAGGAATGTACTGTACAGTACATGGATCTTTTTATTGAAGTGGCAACATTGCTAGAACTTTCTGACCATGAACTACCCTACTAAACCTGCACTATTGTTGGATTTCTTAAAGTGTCACACATTCAATGGTGAAGTGTCATTGTTCTATCCTCAGTGGTTCAAAAGTTTCAGGATCCAGAAGTAACAGATGTATCAACTATCTTCTCACTAAGACATTCACTCAGCAAGAGCACCAAACTTCAGGTTACATGAAGACAAAATGCTCATCAACACCCACAAGGAACTACAAGAAGCATATGGTGATTGTGCATTGCCTTATTGTACAATCACAACATGGATAGAGGTTTTCTAATGTGGAAGAGGCATAACCATGCTTTAGCAAAGTGGTAGACGTCCTGCAACCAAACAGGCAAAAAACATGTTGAAGCCATTAAGAAGTTATTGGAGAAAGATCATGATGGACATGCAAAGAGCTAAGTTATGAAATGAATGTAGCACCTTCAAATGTGTTCAATATCTTGAAGATTATCTTGAAGGTCAATATCTTGAAGAGTTCAATATCTTGAAGATTATTGAACATCTTCAAATGTGTTCAATATCTTGTGTTCAATATCTTGACTGTCATTGTTAACCTATGTTTCAATATGTAGTAAATGAAAGCACATTGCCACCTCAAAAAACTGACCCTCGTAAAACCATGGAAATAAAGACTTCATATGAACAACTTATCATTAAATAGAACGTGCTCAGCAAAATATTAAACAATAACCAAACACCTTTATCGTTACCAAGAAAGTTTATTTATAACAAACGTTTTCGAACTATTCCATAGGCCATTGTCAGGTTGAAAATGGACAATTGGAAGATTTCGTTCCACAAGATTGAATTTAAATATTTAAATTTCAAAAAAACTGACAATGGATTAAAAAATAATAATATATTAGTATTGTATAAANAAACAAGCCGAGTTTTTGCATTGATTCATAACCATGGATAAAACATGGGTCCATCACTTCACACCTGAGACGAAAGAACAGTCGAAACAATGGACTGAAAGGGGAGAATCAGCTCCAAAGAAGGCAAAAACAGTTCCATCTGCTGGCAAGGTCATGGCATCAGTTTTTTGGGATTCACCCAGGAAAAACAATCAACGGCAAGTATTATGCGAACTTATTGCAGCGCTTGAGTGATGAAATCAAGAAAAAAAATGGCCACATTTGGCGAAAAAGACAGTGTTGTTTCATCAAGACAGGGGATCGAAGCTATTGTACATTGCTGGAAAAAGTGTATCGAGCTAAAAGGAGACTAAGTTGAAAAATAAAGATATGTTTTACCAAATTTTTTGTGTCTTCTTTGTTAGGTCGGGTACTTCTGGGACTACCCTCGTATCTATACCTCCAGAGTTTGTCATCCTTAACATTGAAAAGCTCCTTGCATACAATGATATGCAATTACACTTTCTAAGATGGCAGGAGGTATTTAAAATGCATTAGAACAGACAGGTTAGTGAGGACCAGCATATTTGGACTGATATCTCAAACACATAAATGACTAGCAGATAATAGATTACCTATATCAATGCCAATAAAAGTAGAGCTGTGATTCTTTTAAAAATATCTACGTACATTGAATGAATGGAAGAATATATAAAAGGACATGGAATGTGTATAGGTGGAGTTCTGAGTTTATTTTTATTTTATTCTTTGTTTTTATTGTATATGTTTTTATACATTACTAGTATATTATTATTTTTTAATCGATTGTCAGTTTTTTTGAAATTTAAATATTTAAATTCAATCTTGTGGAACGAAATCTTCCAATTGTCCGTTTTCAACCTGACGATGGCCTATGGAATAGGTCAAAAACGTTTGTTATAAATAAACTTTCTCGACAATGATAAAGGTGTTTTGATATTGTTTGAACAACTTATCACCATTATGGAAAAACTGTTCTATTATTTAAACAATTTAATTTTCTTTAATAATGAAATGCATTTAAAACTATAAATCACTAATTATAGTTATATTATTTTGCTCTTAAATTCTATTATTTTAAAATTAAACAATGATAAATTGTATTATCTAATTACACTTACTATACAACTTTCAGCACTGAGTATTCAATCACAAATGTTTTCGGCTTCATTTAGAGGCCCACTTCAGATGAAATAACAAAAATTATAGTTCTACTGATCTTCCATATGTTCTAAGTAATTCAAATATCCTGTTCTAGGCATTTTAAAAATATATTTTTTTACTTTTTAAAAAATTTTTCAGTCATTCAGTTAATAATGATTCAAAACTGGAAATTTGGATGACAATTAACATGAGGATCTGGAAAATAAAATATTTGCTGAAGATCCTCAATTACTGAAATCCTGAAATCTGAAACAAGTCTTCAACAAACTACACCTAAATCAAATAAAGAAAGTAAGACAGATTATATACAAACAAAGGGGTACTATCACCCAAACTTGAACAACCCTATAATTTGTTGGGACCAGATCGCAGCACCTGATTTCCTTATTAAAGTATTTGAACACAGTCTGATGCTGTACCTAGAGATACAAGGGTCGTCCCAGAAGCACCTGACCTGACATAGATGGCGGTACTTGTTTGAAAAAAAAACGACTGTGTTCAAAAGTATCAACCTTATAAAGCTTAAGTTTGAAGTTTGAAGACGTTACGTTGTATAGTATTTTTTAGCAGCCATAAATAGTGAACAATCTCAGTGAATTTGTAAACATGGAAAAAATTTGTCATTGTTATGTGATACAATACTTTCATTTGAAAGGTTTCAGTCCAACCAATATTAAAGCTGAGCTAGTTTCTACTCTGGGGGAGTCTGCTCCCTCATTTACAACAATAAAATATTGGGTGGCAGAGTTTAAACGAGGCCATACAAGCTGCCAAGACGAACATCGTAGTGGTCGACCAAGTGAAGTGACCATGACAGAAATGGTGGAAAAAATCCACAAAATGGTATTGGATGACAGTCAACTCAAAGTGCGAGAGCTAGCAGACATGGTAGGCATTTCAAAAAGTGCTGTACATCGCATTTTAACTGAAAATTTGGACATGAGAAAGCTGTGCGCAAGATGGGTGCCGCGTTTGCTCACAATGGGACAAAAACAGCGTCGTGAGGATGTTTCAATCGAGTCTTTGGCAATGTTTCGCAGCAACAAAGCCGAGTTTTTGCGTCGATTCATAACCATGGATGAAACATGGGT